CATTTAAAGAATTTCCAACACAAAGTGGTCTTACTTTCTCTTCCTATGAAGTAGGTATGCATATAGTTATATAGTTTTCTGGATTATGTTTGAGGAAGAGCCCTGTTCATTTTTGCTTGTGTGTGTGTGTGTGTGTGTGTGTGTGTGTGTGTGTGTGTGTGTGTTGTATCTTCTCCCCTTTTAGGTTAATCAACTATTTAGAATTTTTGAGCACAGAGCTGAGAAAGAACAACAACTAACATTTTCAAAATAAATGACTTGAGGAAGACTGGATAAGGCCAGAAGAGAGGTGAAGAAAGCCCCCCAAAATGTTAAAGAAATGATTCAGATACACTGTGCATCTTTTAAAGAAAACATTTCCAACATGCATGAGAGACATGAAACAGTACTCAGGCATGCTTCAAGAACTCAAGCATGTTTGAGTTTGCCCATACCATCCTTCCATTAACCTCCTTTGCCACTTACAGGTACAACATCACTTCTTTATTTATTTAGTTGAAACTTGGCCTGAGGGTCAGTTGAGGACAAAGCAAACCTAAACAATTGCTTCAGGAAGTAATGGGTGGCAGAATTATAGAGGTGCCTCAAGAGCCTCTTGCCAGACTGCTGTTGCAGCAACGTTGACGATTGTATCGCTAGGGAATTCAAAAGAAGTGAAGCAGTTGGTAGACAAACAAACCAAGTATGAGTTCCCCAGGCTTGGTGGCCAAGTCCATGGACACCATGGGGATGTTATGAACACAACTTCTTAATGTGAGTCTTCTAATTGAGGTGATATTGTGTGGAGAGAGAGCATGTATGAACTTCAGGGTTGTAACATTCATGTAGAACACAGAAGTTTGACCTCATTTAGATGGAAAACATCAATAAATTATTCACTCAATAGATAATTTCTAGTTCCCAGAGATTTACCTAAATATAGTCAAATGGTTCTTTGGGGCAGAATGAGTAGTGTTAAAAATGGCAGAATACCAACCAGCTTAAGGCAGACCTAAAAGAGCCATGGCCATAAGTGAATATCCACCAAAAAAGTGAAATCAGAGGGGGGCAGAATTAGAGACTGCTCTTTTCTCTCCAGTCTTTACACAGGTCTGCCATATACAGAGGGCGTGCATGTGGAAATCCTTAACTAGAACTGACATGAGACCATAGAGAACTTAGCACCCTTTCAAATATATCTGACATAGCAGGATGGTGGTCCACACTTTGGCAGAATTAGGTGGTTCTCTGTAAGTTTACAATAGAGAGTCTCAGACCTGCCAGGGCTACCAAGTGAACCCTCTTTAAAGAAAGTGTATCTGATACAGGAACCTTTGTTCTTTCTTTATCCAAAGAGTCCGTTTACCATCCTCTATAGAAATGTGTCTGCATGACCAGTTACCTTGTTCGAGGAAGACAAACAAAGCAATCATTTCTGTTAGAATTAATAAATAAGACACAAAATTATAAGAATTGCCCCAAAATGTGTTGGCTTTTAGAACCCTCTGGAAAGTGGTTTGCAAATTATCTGTGCCTAGTCCTTGCTCTCTGCTCCCTTGTGCTGTGTGTACACTTTTGTTGCTGTAAGATTGCACTTTAAGTCCACAGGGACAGTAAGTGTTTGTATATCTAACAGAACACTTGGGAGTCAGATGTTTCACATATGTCTTATGAGTAAATACAGGAAAGAGAACTGCGTACTCATTTAGTTGTGGTCCTGCTTCTCCCACGATATGGTAGTCAGGATTCTGACAAAAGCTGAGATTTGAGGTAGTACCACTTCTGATTCTAAAGAGAATAAAGTAGTAAAAGTATCAGTTCCAGAGTTCTTCAGATGAATATGAGCTAATCTCTTTATGAAATGGACATCCAGAAAATGACAAATATCCATTTTCCTGCCCTAATTCTTGGAGAAACCAGAGCAGTCTACCTTATGCAAGGACTGAATGACACAGGTGTTGCTAAAAGTCATTTAGGGTAAGCACACGTACAGTTGATTGCATTAATAGATTTGTTCAGTGGGACAATATCAACGGAACAGCACCTGAGGGTGGGATATTCCACAGGTGTTTTTGGTCTTACTGTAAAAGGCCCCATTCCACAAATTCTTTTTGTGAACAGCAGGCATCAATGACTGAGTATTATATTATTATACACTGGAAGACATCATGAAACCTGTATTCCTTAGAGAGAAGTGGCAGCTAAAGGACAATTAGAACACTCTTACTCTTGTTTTGGGTTGTAATTGTTTGAAGGTAGAAAAGACAACTGACTAATTGTATAAACCAAACAGATATTGCCACCAACCCTGAAATGTACTCCTGCTTCTAGCTGTGATGTGCATTCAGCATAGTAGAATGCAGAGTGCTAGATTTTTTACCTGGTGTGTGTTGTGGGGTTATGAAGAAATTCTGATTTCACCCTGAGACTACTTATGATAATACACCATCTCAGCGTGCATCTGCCATTTGGCCTACATGCCTAGTGTCCTGGTATGCATGGCCTGCATATCCAGGGATGAAGCCAGTAGAATGTGTGCTATGCAGAGGGCAGAGACTGGCATCACACATCTCCCTACAGGATTATCTCTAAGTACATGTTTGTGGATGAGGGTACCATGCATACTGATTTGTCTTGTACTTCCATGTTTATCCAGTCACATCATGCCAGAAAAACATGGTGCTTGCTTCTGAGGATTCCAGTTAGAAAGTGTTCCAGTGTGGTTACTCTCCCTTACCTGTTGTTTCGTTACTAGAGGAGCTTAGGACTAAATTTCAGCATGACTTTCATTTCTGGAGGCAGGGAAATGTGCAGCCAAGCAAACAGGTGATTTATACAACCTTTTAAAGAGCCAGAAAATCCAAAAGTAGAAACTGGAGAACAGGGAATGAAGGGAATAAGGAAATAGACTTTCAGTATCTCTCATTTTATTAGATGATTATTTGTCATATTAAAGATAGAAAAATTAAAAAGGACATCTTTGTTAGAATTGCTTTAAAATAAATTCACTAGCAAAAGGATAGCAATATCCTAAAAGAGGAAAAGGGTGTGTAAGACTTCATAGAAAATTTTAAGGAAAGAACTTGTATTTAGGACAATATCTCAGAGTTGTAGATTGTGATGACTCACCCAATCCTTATCTCTGTAGCTCTGTAAGGGAAGAAAAGGTACAGATGGGGACCTGGATGAAGCTAGTTAGGGCTTCACTGTGAACCTCTTGTCCAGGGAAGTGCTGAGCAGTCAGAGGTAGGACACTCTTCAAGATGGATGACCTACTGACTGTCAGGGCACCTGCTTTGAAAATCAGGTCTGCCCTCCAAAGAGAACTGACAAGGATCTTGCTCTAGCATTTCCTAAGTCCTAAAGTGTTTGCGTGATCGTTTTTCCCTTGTCTTTATCCCAAGGGCAGAGTTAAAAAATGATCAGGATTACCCACCATGGACAAATTCAAGATGCCTTTTGAATTAACTATATGCTTTCCTACCAAAAGAATGACAAGCCTGATGCATTACTACCTTATTCAGGCAAGGAAGGTGAGTGCACAGGCACCTTTGTGTACATGGGTGCAGACTCAGAAATGTGATGTGATTCACAAACTAAGGGCTTCCCTCAAATCCCCTGAGCTAGAGGTGGTCACGCTGCCACACACAATAGCCAGGCCTTTGCCTCTCAGAAAAGAGCTCAGTTGTCAGTGAACTAATAACATGTGTTCTAGAATATGAATCCTGCTTCCCTGTACATTCTGCCTTTACTGGATCTTTCTGGAGTGCATGAATGGGGGATAAATTAGCTGGTTATTTCTCATTTTTCTTGCCTCTCTTTTCCTTATGTTTTTCTTCCTTCCTTCTTTCCTTCCTTCCTTCCTTCCTTCCTTCCTTCCTTCCTTCCTTCCTTCCTTCCTTCCTGTCCTTTCCTCCCTCCCTCCCTCCCTCCCTCCCTCCCTCCCTCCTTCTTCTTTCTTTCTTTCTTTCTTTCTTTCTTTCTTTCTTTCTTTCTTTCTTTCTTTCTTTCTTTTTTTCATTTCTCCTCCAAGATGAGCTAAGAGGGCCTAAACATTTTTTTCATGGAACCAATTTCGACTTTTATTTGAATTCTGTTTGTGCTGGCACAATACGGACACATATACATTTTTTTCTTCAATATAGCAACCTGAGGAATAACCCAGCTAACATGTTCTAGTAAAGTATAGAAGGCAGTTGTAAAGTTCTGGGAGCAGCTGCTTCCTCACAGCTTTCTTGGAACCTCCTGGTTTCAGGGCACTGAATCCATGCCTCAAACCAGAACAGCAAGAGAGGCACAAAGTAATTGCTCACTATTCCATATGTAACTCAGTAAATGCTCAGTTATTCCATATTGGAAAGTACTGAAACTCTCTGGAAAGGATGACGAATTGAGTAGGGGGATACTTATGGTGTCAACATTAAACTAACACAGATGTCTCTGGTTGCTTGTAAAATGCTTCCAAAACAAACAGGCCAGAAGGGTCTCCCTCTGCTCTGGGTCCCCCAGCTGGGTGTTCTTATAACCTAGGCTCTCCAAGTACAGTCCCTTTGTTTTCACATATGTTATGAAGGGCTCCCACATCAGACAGACATCAGACAGACGTATACCCTCTCTCCCCTCATCTCTCAAGGGAGCCAAGTTTCCCTGTGCCCACCTGGAATAAGAGTCTTCCAGATATTTAAGTCCTAAATGGAGAAGGCTAATGGCAGGACACATGACTGTGGCCTTGCCCAGGGTCTCACACTCACTCAGTTCATTGCTCTTTAATTGGTGTCTTAGGAAACAATGTCCTGGCTACTGTACAAATACCTGCTTCAGCCAAAAACAAAAAAAAAAA